ATTATTATTATTAAAAAAAAAAAGTAAAGTTAAAAAAAAAGAAAAAGTAAAAATAAGTTAAAAATAATAAATAAGATAACTATAAATTACTTTATTTTTTATATTTTCTTTAATTATTAATTATATTTATTTTACTTATATTTTTTTATTTATTTTACTTTTTTTTTTTTTTAACTTTAATTTTTTTTTAATAATAATAATAATAATAATAATAACTTTTATAAGTTATTTCTTTTTTTATTCTATTTTTCTTAAAAATTATTAACTATTTAGACTTATTATAATACTAGTAGCCTAAGCTTTTTATAAGTGTTTTTTAAAAAAGGGTATTAAAAAGCCCTTTATAAAGAAAAATAGTACTAAAAAGTCCTTTGCTACTAAAGCCCTAGTAAAAAAACCCTTAGCTAAAAAGGCTACTAAAAAAACGCCTAAGAAAGTTATAGTTACCCTTTTAAAGAAAAGACACTAGAAGGCTAATAGTAAGTACTTACTTAATTACTATAAGTAATTACTATAATACTAATTTACTTCTAGCTATTGCTTTTTATAAAATCTGTAAGTATTAGAAGTTAATTAACCTTCTAATAGCAAAGGTACTTTTTTAACGTCTTTATAAAGAGATTATATATAATATTTCTTAATAAGATAACCTTTACTTTCAAAAGGCAACTATTCTTATACTTTAAAAGGCTACTAAGACTTATTTTACAGCTATATTTAAAGGTATATAATTACTATAATTAATTACTATAATAACTAACTTATATCTTTTTAGCTATTTAGTTAATTACTATTTATACTAAAAGAATTACTATTATAAAAAAAGATATAAACTATATTAAGTCTATTCTTCTTACTACAGAGCTAATAAGCAAAGACTAGTACTATTATTAACCTCCTCTAAAGTCTTTTTAGTCTCTTAAACAAGAGCTATCTAGTTCTAGTTCTGGTTTAGGTAAAGAAAAAGGAAAAACTAGCCCAACTACTACACAAAAGCTTACACTTAAGCAGCGCCACGAAAGGCTTCAGGAAGAGAACCGTAGTTTAACAGTTAAGAGAAATACTACAGGAGGAAATAAGAATACTACTTAAGAGACATTTCTATAAGTAGACTAGTACTAAGGATTACTATAAAGGATTATTATAAATAGAAAGATCTTACTACTAGTACTTAACTTTCTGCTTATAAACCTCTATATAATATGTTTTCTTTAACTTATTACTTAGTAATAAATTCTAATACTTTACTTTTAAAACTATTAGTTTTTTTTTTCTTATTATTAATTAGTTTAAAATAACTAAATAAACGTTATAATTAAAATCTTTTTTAAACCTTATAAGGTCTTCTATTACCTTATTAACCTTAGCTTTTTTTTATAATAGTTACTTTTTTTCTCTTTTCTTTTTTTATAGCTTTAACTCTAATACCTCTTTTTTATTACTAAAATATTTATTCCTAAGCTCTTATATTAATTTATTAATATAAGCGTTAGCTTTAATAGTAGTAAGTCTCTTTTTTAATAACTTATTATTATTAATAAAAATATATTATTATTAGAATTATCTATTAGATTACTAGTTTTATAAAAATATAAGAGTACTAAGAAATAATATAAATAACTATAATAGTATATAAAGAGATTAACTTTCTTGTATATCTTTTAAGTTATTATTATTATTTCTGTTATCTTTTTTATTCTTATTTACCTTAAAGTTAATCTCCTAGCTATATATAACCTTATTAACTAATAATATAGCGTTACCTTTTTTAGTATTTATACCTTATATCTCTTTATATAGATCTAATAATCTTAACCCTTTTTTAAAAACTTATTTATACTTTAAGTAAATAATTAAGAAGTTTTCTTTTATCTTATTACTATAAAAGACCTTTTTATTATCTTTATTAAATATATTACTTAACTTATAGATAATAGATATTTAAATAAAAAACCTTTTTTTTTTACTATTATACTTATTTTTTATTTATTTATTAGTTATAAAACTAGTAAACTAGCTTTTAATATTAATTTATACTATAAGATCTTTAAAGATTAGTTTTTTTATAGTAGTTTTATTAGTATTAAGGTTTTTATTATAGTATAAATTAAAAAGCTTCTTTATAAAGCAATAAGTAAGCTTTAAAGTTTAAATAGTATAAGAGTATATTAATATTTATTAATTAAATAAATCTTTAAGAAAAAGTAATATATTACTTAAGGATTTATTATTAATTTTATTATATTTTTTATTATTATTTTTATTATAGACTTTAATAATATCTTAAATAACTTTTTTATTAAACTATTACTTCTTTATTAGTTTTCTTTTTAATTAATATAATAAGTCCTTTTATTTATTAGTAATAAAGGCTAAAGTAATTAATTAAATAATAATAAAGCCCTTTATATTAATAAAAAGCCCTTCTTTACTTTATTAGTTACTTATTATAGAAGTATAAGTAATTATAATAATTATTTATAGTAATTTAATAAAAAATAATAATATAGATAAAAGTAAAAAGAAATAAAGCTTATTTAGCCTAGAGAAAAGGGAAAGTAGTAAAGATAATAACCTCTATAGGGATAACAGTAATACATTACCTAATTTAAGCCTTAATAATACAGGAAACTCTACTTAATTTCAACCTGAGGTATTTTTTACTACGGTACGGCCATTACCGCACTTATAACGCAGTCATCGATCAGGCTCTCAGTCGAGATCACCTAGGGCTTAGCGCGCGCATTTGTGCGGTCTTAGAGAGTACGAAGTGAGACCGCTACCCCGCTTTGTTCAGCTCATCAAGGCGTAGCACAACGACTTGTAGCTGTGCTATATCGACTCTCCATGAACGTCCTTCCATAGCTCTTCTTACTTTAGTCTTGATGAATGTCCCAGCCACGCTGCAAACCCATTATCTTGACTCCTGTGCAAGAAGCTGATAACGGAATTACGGAGTTGACCCATATTACCACCAATAGAGGCTTGGAACCAAATGATGGAGCACCCCGAAATCAAATCTGTCAAGAGTTCGGTTCCGTTTCTCTCGACATGTGTAAATAGTGGTGGAATACCGGCCAATTCACCTCGAGAATTAGAAACCCTTGAACGAGGGGCTGCTAATGGTTGTAGTCGCTGCATTGTAATTATTCGGGGTATCAAAGAGTTCAAAACCCTCCTGCCTCTTGGAGAGCTAGAAGACTTTGAGAAAGTCGATTCCGTTACCTGTTGGACCCTCAACTACGGTCTGTGAAGAGTTGGGCTAACGGAATCATCGAAACAAGGCAAGCGGGAACCATTCGGATATGAAGATGACGAAATGGATGGTGCTTTGGATGCTTTCGAACTTCTCGTCTCTTTCATAAATTTAAGACCAGACTTTTCACGTGGCTTGACGACCGTTGATTCCCCGAAAGTACCAGAGAAACTCGAGCTTTTCAAAGCTGTCGAGATAACCAAGAAACGGGTGGCTCAATGTGATGAATTACATCAGTGTCTGAGCACGGATCAACCAGCACTTCCTAGTAGAGTCCTGGATATATTCTCAAACGATAATGACTGCGTCAACTTAGTTGAGTCCCATGGAATGGCAGCCCACTTTGCGGCGTTGAGATGTTGCTTGGGTGATATCAGTACGAATTCCAAGACCTCGACTACGACTCTTGGGGAACACCAAAGGCATACCCTTCTCTGCATTAACTCGATGCTTTCAAGATACAAATACACTGTGCCGTGCGCTTGGGCTTCGCTATCTCTGGATAGACTCCTCGATAGATTGGGAAGTAGAGTCAGCCAACATGGCTGCCATATATTCAAATGCATATATCACCATCTCTGCCACGTCTTGCTCGGATCCGAGCATGAGTCTTTCCGCCGACAGGCGAGTATACACAGCCGCTAAAACCGCAGGGTTTTCCCCTTCCGCCTACCGCACACTGCCATATATCGCCTGTGTAGAACACAAAGAGAAGACAAGAGGAGTACGCCACTTTCTCAATCGGAGCGGAAATAGATCCGAGAACTAGCTCTTCGAATTTCGACACGATACAGGGCTGACACATTGGAGAATCATGGAACCAAGCGTTGGTGGTCTAAACGAGTCTCGCTTTGCCCGCTATTCAGACGCACTGCTTCTTACCCGCGGTTGGGTCCGGCAAGAACGCCTTTTTTCATCGACAACAATCCATTGCCATGCCAAGGAAGTGGTATGGGAATGCAAGGCTGGCGTGCGATGCGAGTGTGGGATGCTCGACGATGATGACACTTCAGCCGCCGCCCGTCCGCGGGATGTCTGGCGAGTGCAGAAGAAGGTTTCATTAGCTCGAGCGCTAGTGCCGCAGGCAGATCCACAGCTTCTCACTGGGGCTTGGGCAGACGTTGTCATGCGCTTCAGCCAACTACATCTTTCGTACGAAACCGGCCGTCCACCAGCTCTGTCGGGTCTTGCTGCACAGTTCGCCAAGCATGATCTCAGTGTCTACGTCGCCTACATGTGGACCAATATGTTCCCTGCGTCATTAATGTTTGGTCTCAAACCATCTGGGCGTAGGAGCTATCAAAACGACGTATCATGCAAGGTTCAACCACCGTCCTGATCATGGGCATGGTATCCGCTTTCTGATAACAACTAGATTGACAGAAATCAGCCTTTAATCCATAAACACTAGGTGTGTTGCGCTGAAAGGACATCAATTGTCTAACACGATCAGTCCTATCCTGTCCTGTAGCCACCATGCGCCCCTGGGGTGACAATGGTTCCGTTATGCTTGTTGGGTTGTAACAAAGCTATGGCGGCTGCTTATCCAAAGCGTTTCTTACGTCCTTTATCTAATCAGAGCAAACTACCTGTGTATCAAACTAGCTTACGTAGCCGAGGAAAATACACAAGAGAATGCATGCCCGTACAATGACCCTGTTTCATTCCAACAATAATTCTGCTAAAATAAATACAACCAGAAGGCATGCTGCTCGATTGGTTGTTGTTTACTAGCCAGCGGCTGCTAAAGGTGGTGACATCCAATAGCCGCTGTACCATAAACAGCTAGAGCCGCGGAGACGCACTTGATGTACCCAAGCCAAATAACTGCAGTAGCTGCTCCGGCAGTTGCTGGTGCAGCTGCAGCCTCGGCTGTAATGCCAGCTGAAGTACAGCCAGCAACGGCGCCTATGTACGCAACAGTGGCAACCCCAATACAGGCGGTACAACGGGAAAAGAAGTGGTTGCAACCTGAGTCGTCCGTCTTCTCTCTGAGCATTGCCTCGGTGTCGAGAATTGATCGCTCGTTGGTGTAGTGATAGTCAGCCGCCTCGTTGTCGCGCTTGGCGATCTCCATGCCTTGGTGCAGCATTCTAGCGATCGTAGAAAGAGCATGTTCCTTGAAGTCTTGGGGCCAAGCCGCAATTACATCAACAGGTTGTTGAAATGTTGCTGACCAATGGGTCGGGTCAATGTCAGAGTAATTCTCTGAGGCTAGGAGATGCTGGACGTGATCTACAGTAACCCCAAGGTGGGTAGCTGCCAGGTCGATGGCTGGGTCGACTGAGGCAACAGCAGACGCTGTGGCAACAACGGCGGCCGTCGCAGTAAGGAGGATTTCTCGGAAGGAGACCATTGCTATAATTTAACAATAGAGAGGATATTACTTGTAATAGAATGATAATAGGTCAAAAAAGTCATAGTGATGAAACAGAAGGACTGGCGTGGCATACCGAACCGTTAGTATTTATACGTACGTGTGATACTACTATCTTAGACTACAACGCATATGTCGACTATGCGATTCAAGCTTTCTACTCTTATTGCTTAACACTAATACCCAATTTCTTTCAAACCTTATGTTCCGAGTTTACCGTGATTTGTCCCTAAACTTCTTATGTCTGGATACATCGTATTAGCTGGACTATCTGTTTCATATAATAGAGCTCACACTTCAGACTGAACCAGTCCTCTTCAAGTATCATTTGATCAGGAGAAAGATAGGAAAGAGTCTGACCGCCTAGGAACCCAAGTGTTCAAGCAGAAGCATTTTCTACAATTTCGATGCGTTTATTTTCTCTTGAACTAATATTCAGTCTCAGTAACTCACGAATATTTAATTTCATAAAGTCCACTAACTAACAACAAAGTTTAAGTAAATGTTCAAGCAGAGATATGGTTCATGACTCAGCCGCTAACAAACACCAATCATAATCAAACTAGGAAAGTTTATTAACATCGCGTGGATTGAAGTAGCAGAGCATGTTGTAAGCCTTTCGAAGTATATAAGATCAATTTCAAAGCTGGTTTTTTTGTAGACGATATCTTTTTGCACCCTTATCTAAATCTTCTGATCTCCTTTCAATTTTTCCAATCTGTCAAGAGCTTCTTGCTTTAACCAACCACTCCGTTCTACGCAACAATGAAGGCCCAAGCCTTACTCCTGTTCATCCCTCTTGTTGCTGGCCGGGATTATACCCTCACATGCGACAAAGATATCTGGCAGCCAGGGGATTCTAACTACTGGAACGACTTTTATAAGTCAGCTTGTACATTTTTTGCCAAATGTGGAGGTTACTTGCCACCGGCTGTAGATGGCGACAACGTTATTGGTGGATGCGAGAGTTGTCCTCCCAACGTAAACCCCGACCTCATCGGAAACTGTCTCTACGTTCCTATAGTGAACTGAGACAGTAAACGCTGTAAGTGAACTTTTATTATCAAATTACCTCTGAGACCGAACGACTAAGGTTTTCATTCAAAGATTGTGGGACTCATGTTGACTCTTTTTAGGGTTCGCTTTAGAAAGCATTAGCCGGGGTTGGCTCAGCATCGTCTATATAAGCAATAGAGGAAGCCATAGAAGATTTGTGTGGTTAGGAACCTTTATTTTTCTATCGCAATATATGTTTCTCCTCTTTGACGAAAATCATCTTACTAAAAGACCCCTGATACTTAAAGGCTCTTTGGAATAAATAAGATTTGAGGACAAGATGCGTCTCTCGTCTGACTGATTACTAGTATATGAGCTAGCCTTGTTTTGAAGAATGCATTCTCTAAACGCCTGACCTGAACTGTTCGTAGCTTTCCATATTGACCTCCTAAAACATTTGTCTAAGAATCGGATATAGAGTGGTAACGGTGTATTTGTATGAAGTTACAATCAGTAATGTCATAGTGGCTTAGTCTTTAGCGTGGACGCTTCTGCACTTTAAAAATAAATGTTCAAGCTAGGCTATCATTTGCTGTTCTGCACCTTGCATAAGATAACATCGTATTGTGATATCAATACTAACATTGATCCCCTTTTAATTACGTCTTGGCTAGAATTTGTAGAGCGCACATTCAATCTAAAAAAACAGACGACAATATGTATAGATCTAACTGTTGATTATAGCTACTTGGTATTCTTAACAACTACCGTATTTTGAAGGCAGCAAAAGAAAGACTTAGCTAATCTGATTATAGATAGCAACGCAACGCGATTCCTACTCCCTATTTATTAATAATCTTCTGATCATCACCATTGTGTCCCAGCCTAGCGTAGTCTCAGGCTTAATGCCCTCTCTAAAGCGTGATCCTTATCGCTAGACGCGAAGCTATAGTTCAGGACACCAATCTCCCCCTAAGCGTCTGCGATGCAATGCAATCTATAGTTCATGGCCCTCTCTATTTAGTGTAAGTTGTTGTTCTAGCTCCCCATAAGCAGTCTAGTACAATTTACCCTGTACAGAAATATGTCACAGTACGTATAACCCAATACAGTAGCATCTCTGGCCTGTGCTAGATCCCGATGTATCAATACGGTACGAAATACCCCATAGCGTGGAACGACTGCTGGTACTGACTTCACTTCAACCGTGGCCTGCACATGTGGGCCGTCTAAAGATGGCGTCGTAGTTGAGCGGACGTACGAGCAGAAGCATTAGCCACAACCCTGACAGTGGTGGCTTCATTCAGACTACCATCAAGGTCGTGAAAAACTTGCGGCTTGAGTCACGGCTAATGACGGCGTGACTAACGTCCCAGTGATGGCCTCAGTTCACTGAATCTACCAGCAAGGTCGTGAAAACTTTGCGGCATGGCCCTCTTTGTAAAGTGGCTCCAGGACAAGAATTAGTAAACTCTATAGAATTAGTAACGATAAATCTATTAGTGACTTACGTTTAAAACCTGTAAGAGAGGCAAAGGGACTAGTAATCAAGATTTAAGATGACTACAAGATCTATTTTGACTAAAGTGTTACGAGCAGGTCAGGGCAACCAACTGCACCACAAAGCAAAAGCTTCGGTAATGATGCGCCTGCATCATTATCCCTTGTTCTGCACTATATAGTTACGCCGGCCAACACCCTGACTGGTTGGGTCGTAACATAAAGCTACTTAGCATAAATATCTTTACATAGTTGCAATGCCTATGCTAGGCCTTGACTATAACTAAGTCTTTTCTTTTACCTCTGCTTAACTTTAAGTAGAAGCCTAGTACCGGATTAGTAATTGGGTCAGTGACGACCAGCGAATACCTGGTGCTGTCTGTATTTTTGCGTTTTGTTTCGATTTCATCCCGCCGCTGGCTCGAGACTGATCTATTTCTTTACTGGTTATCCGGGCTGGTGGGTTTGCAAAGAGGCAGAGGAGCATTGGATACTCCCTAAACAGGCAGCACGATAATCTGGTTGGACAGTGTAGAGCTGAGCTGTGATTCTGAAGCTATCGCGGGCTTACCTTGCGTCGTCATCGGCGTGATCGCGCTACATCGACCAGGCAGCAACCTGAAGCTGGAACTTGGCATGTGGGGATTGACATGAGCCATTGGCCAATGGACTGCGACATCAGCCACATGCCCCGTGCTCATCTCCCGACCGGAGGGTTCAATGCAACGCGTGCGCCACAAGCCGGTCGTTGGGTGAGTTCAGCCAGACAGGGGCACTGCCAAGGAAAAATAACGCGCCAAGGACACGCAAGGAAAAGAGAGGGAAGCTGCTCGGGCATCTCCTTCTTTGTCTGCGTTGGTGCTGCGTCGGTGGCCTCCCCCGTTTCGCCCTTTTGTGGCTTGAACTCGGACATTGACGTTTATGTTCCAGTTCTGGTTTGATCCGTAAACAATCAAAAATTTCGCACACTCCGCCGCAATCTTCCAGGCCAGATCGTCTCTCTGCAACTCCTCCCCGCCAAACCCCATTCAAAGCCGACAACCTTTCCCACCCTCGTTTCCGAGTCCTCGCTTCGAGCGCGACATCTCCCATCATCCATCCCATCGACACGAGCCCGCAGTAGGCCCTGCAGATGCTCGTTGCACATCAACCATGGCACTGGTGAGCAAGGGTGGTCGGTTCACGCTTCTGCGACCCTCTCCGACGCCGACCCGGTGGATCGGGACGCGTGGCCGCCGCGGCCCTTGGGCGCTGCTGTCAGCAACGGCAAACACGGCATCGGTACCGCCAACACGGCCATCGTCGGTGGTCAGGCCACACGCCGTCTTCTTCTCCACACATCCGTCTAGGCGATCCGGTATGTCGGTGCTCGTGTCTTCTTTCTCGATTGCCTTCTCTCCCCTCGCCCGATTGATTGGGTAACTGATTCCCTCGGTTGGCCGCGCCCCCGTCCGGCTGCATGGTGGCGGCGTGAGCAAGACCAGACGAGTGCGGCAGCACGAGGCTGGGCGTGAGATTCTCGCTCTTTGCAGGTGCTGTCGACAGGGATGTCTGGTGCCGACGACCCGGAACTGCAGGCCAAGATGCAGCTTGTCAGACCGCGCCCAGCTCTGTCTTCGAGATGGACGGATCAGGCTGTGATTGCCGCTGCAACGTCTCATTCACAAAGAGTGCTGCCACCGAGTCCTGACAAAACTCCTTCATGATGATCTGCGGTAACACTGAGCATACCATGAAAGCGGCGCATAAATCACACTCTGACCCTGCCTGCCGTCCATCGAGTTGCAAAGTGAGGTCATCGCGAGTCTCTGGATGAACCTGGCCGGACCGAGGCTCAATCAGGATGCACGAATGATGACGGACGCGCTCAGCCTCTCATGCTCTCATGAGACATGTCTTCACCAGGCTAGTCTCCAGTGACTCGGGGCCTTCCAAGTGGAAGACAAATTGTCCCTCACATCTGTCACTGACACTGCGTCAGTCGGCCTCGCCAACACAAACATTACTAACCTCACACAGACCAAACACAATCAACGTCCAAACCGGATCCCGCCCCCAAACCCCAAGATGGCGGTGACAGCCTCCCCAAGAAGATGCTCGAGTCCGCGGCGACCTCCTTCGCCTCGATACTCGTCCTTGCCTTCGGCTTCGCCATAGCGGGCTACGCCTACCACAAGACGTACAAGCGCATCGTTTTGCAGAAAATGACCCGCGCCTTCACCCCCGGCGACCCCGTGCTCGAGCTCGCCGCCATCGGCAAGGAGGTGCCGCAGAACCCGGCCGAGGCTGACGACCGCTGGGTGCAGCGGCCGGAGCAGTCGCGCATCGACAAGATTGTTGACGGCTCCGAGGTCGGCCACTACTTTTTGATCCTGGGCGAGAAGGGCACGGGCAAGAGCAGCATGCTGATCGAGGCCATGCGCAAGATTGACGGCGACGGCGTCGCCATGTTCGAGGCCCACGCGGACCTCGAGATTGTGCGCATCCGCCTCGGCAAGGCCCTCGACTTTGAGTTCCACGAGGACTACATTGGCGGCTACTTTAGCGAGCGCGGACCGCGTGACACGACGGCCCTGCTGGACATTGAACGTGCCCTCAACAAGCTCGAAAAGGTCGCCATCATCAACCGCGCCACGCGCAAGAAGCCGTTGGTCGTCATCATCAACCAGATGCACCTGATTCGCGACGACGACGACGGCAAGGACCTCATCGAGTTGCTGCAGCAACGTGCCGAGCAGTGGGCGGCCTCGAACCTCGTGACCATGGTCTTCAACACGGACGACTACTGGGTGTACGAGCGATTCAAACAGCTGGCCACGAGGATGGAGATCATGTCGGTGCGCGACCTGCCCAAGCGGCAAGCCATCGCTGCGCTCGCCAAGTACCGCGTCAAGTACTTCAACGAGCAGCTGAGCCAGACCAAGCTGGAGGAGGTGTACGACCTCGTCGGCGGCAGGCTGTCGTTCCTGAACCGTGTTGCAAAGAGCCACGACATGATTGCGACGTGCAAGTCCATCTGCCAGGTTGAGAAGACGTGGTTCCTCAACCAGTGCTGGATCCTCGGGGCTGAGATGGACGACGACGTCATGGACCAGCAAAAGTGGGCGGTAAGTATCCTCTAGAGCATCCTCCTCGGACGCCTTGCGAGCCAGGATCAAAATCGTGGGCCGCAATGCTAACAATCACCAGGCCGCCGCCATGGTCCTCGCGCAGGCGCTGGTCGACAGCGAGGAGGACATGGAGCTCTGGGACGATGAAAAGGGCCACGTGTTGCCGTCATTCCCGATGCACAAGGCGCAGCAGATCATGACGCGCGCCGACTTCGTCCGCAACATGGACCGGCTCAACCTCTTCACCATTGCCGCCAACGCCGAGGTGCGCGCCTCGTCGGTGCCCATGCACCGCGCCTTCCAGGAGATTTGCGCCGAGAAGGGCTTCAGGGAGCACCTGGAGAACACGATCCAGCGCATCAGCGACATTGAGTCGCTCGGCCGCACGCGCGAGCTGGTGGCCAAGGATCTGGTGCTGGGCGGCAAGTACGAGATTGCCCGCGAGGGCAGGAACGGGGTCACGGTCAAGCTGATTGAGGGCGAGGACCGGGGCATGTAGAATGTACGACTGAGACCGGACGAGCGCGCGTGATGGGACGATGACGAGACCCTCGCATCTCGCGTGGGCCTTGGCCAAAGATCGGTCTGATTTCGGGGCTTGACGGCGAGATTGGGGCAGTATTGGGATGAGATTCCTCTCTTCGCGATGGCACGAGGGACATGCACGATCAGATTCGATAGGGGGGTGCGCCTCCCCTTCATTCTTCCGATGCTCCATCCCACCCACTGGCGTCAGGGGAACACCCTGGGGATCGGACATAGATCCGCCGCCGATCGATTGGCGGTTGGATTGGGGGCTACTTGCCTGAATGCGGGATGAAGCCTGGAGCACGCGCCGGAGGAGATGGGATGACACCTGCTTTGACAGATACGTGTCAACCGCTGGATGTGGACATTTCTGACGTGGCTGTAAGGATGGCATTGCTCGTGCAACTTTCTTGTGTTCCTTTTTTTTGTTGGCGTGGTAAGAAAACAGCGTGGCTGGGGAGGGAAAGCGATTGCGACGCATTCCCTCTCACAAACTGTAAAGATACATAGAAAACCGGGGGGGTTATGAAGGGGGCCGCCGCCGGCTTCAGGTGATGATACCCTCTCTCCTCCCCCCCCCCCATGTACGATCGATCAATAATTCCCAGCAAATCAATATTTCCCATGTACCTGTAACCACTCATCTCTGGCGCCATTCCACCCCCCCAGTGCATGGTCCATGGCTGCGAGTCCAAACTCTGCTCCGCGTTGGCGCCGTTATCGCATTCATCTACGTTTGCAGATGGCGCGATTTCGCCGTATCCCTGCTCGACGACATCACGACTTTGCGGGCCTGTCCTTGTCCATGGTCGGCGCCGCATCGCGACATGGCGTCTCGTCCTGCCATCGCCTAGTCTCGCAACACCAACCCCCAATCTGCTCCCGCGAAGCCAAAACGTTTCCCGAACCCGCCGGGACGCGCCATCCACTGCTGGCGGATATTCCCCCCTTCGGTAGATCGCCCAACAAGCCCGTCCCCTTCTTCTTCTCCCGGGCTTCGGTGGCATCCCTCGCCCAGGGACCGACCCGGGGGGCCAATGAAGTGCGGAGGCGCCCCGCATACCCAACGGCCCGCTCATCCTTCATCTCTCTCTCTCTCTCTCTCTCTCTCTCTTTCTACCAGTCGTCCCCAGCATCTGGTCAGCGGGAGGCAGTGCGCCCCGGGCGTCGCTCACCGCTGCGGAGCAAAGGGACCGAACGAACAACGACACCTCCACTGCACGGATGGCGGCGGCGGCGTCTGCGAGGCAGCGGAAATCACGTATACAGACGTACCATGCGCCCGGCACACACACACACACACACACACACAGGCTATCAGAGATTTGGGGGCCGCTCGCTAAGACCGAACCACCCGTCCGTGAGAGAAATACTCGGCTAAACCTCGTGCGTGCATGCGATGCAGGCAGGGCCGTAGGAAAACGGGCGCTCGGCTAACGCAGCCAGATAGAATGCGCGGCATGAGGACCCCTCTTCACGCGCGAGGTGGTCGAGGTGATGATGGCAGGGGAGGGGCATAAATGGTTTTCCTTTGGTAGAAATGGTTTTGGGGAGGGGAGGGGAGGGGGGGGGCGTCCCGCTCCAGTACGGATACCGTGTACTCTCCATGTACAGGCCTCCTCCCCATCCACGAGATTAGCTTTTTCTCGTTGAACAACAGACAACCTTAGCCCCATTTTCCTGCAGAATCTCTCGGCGCCCCAATCCACAGCTACCTACCTAGACACCATCCAGAAAGCAAAAGAAACCACTCTACAACGATCAGGGTGTTTCGTGTCGGCAAATGCCAGAGGTATCGCCATGTACCATATCCCTTTGTCTGTCTCTCCCCCACGACGCTGCTGCATGCACGCCAAAGTCAGAATGCAGAGTAAAGGAGAGGAGGAGGAGGGGGGGCTGGTCACTTCGGCCGTCACGGCAACTAGAGATCTTCGCTGCACCAGTCGTCGCTTTTGTCCGGACGTACAGTACGAATGTGACAACTCGTTTTCACCTAAAGTCGTACGAGGAGCATCCGTGCTCTTTCGCAGGACACCTTATCCAATACAGACACGAGGGAGAGAGAGGGTCTCCTCCCAACGAAAAAGAGTCGCAATTCGAAAAAGCATCATGATGCAACAGTGAGCAGCGGACTACCGGTAGGTCAACTGCGACTCTGGCGTTGCGGTCCGCCGCGGATAGGTTGTGCAAATGTCCCTGCGCTCTGAGACGAACGTGTGCCCCGTGCAGCGGGCAACGCCGCAAAGTGGCGGACAGAGGGACGAATGGCCTGTCTTTAAATCACAAAAGGTCACCAAGGGGTCGAGATTAGGCGACCAAAAAGCCAAAAGGCATCGCAGTGTGAGGTGAGGGCGTAACCGGCGCAGCTTGTATTGTGTTGCGGGAATTCCTCCAATGCCTGCCGTGATAGCGTCCGATCTAGCATTCGTTCATGCCTCCTGTGACTATGCCCTGGAGGCCTCGCTGAAAAGCCCATCAGATAATGATGGCCATGTGTGCAAAAAATCAAATCGGACACTGTCCGAGCCTCCCACCCCGAGATGTTCCCTGCCTGCCCCATTACCCAAAAAGTCTGAATTGGACCAGACACTCAAAGAGCCGACCGCCCGAGTACAGTAAGAAACGCCGCGATGCGAGCATCGACTTGTAGAAATGAAAAGCCCAAAGACAACACCAAACCACCCGCCCACGCTCAACCAACGCGCAAGCCCATGCTAGGGCGGCGACCCTACCGGAATGCAGACCCGAGCGAGAGTCGTCCACCCAGCTGTGCCCCCTCTCATGTCTAGGCCCCCGAGCAGCGTCTGTTGCCTTTGTCGCTTTGCGTTTCCAATGCGTGAAGAAATCTTGATGCGAATTGGGGCCCTGTACATCATGTCGCCTCCGTTGCATGTCTCGTCCGAGAACTCCAACAACACAATTGCCTGCCCAGATAGATAACAAAAAAGAAGCGAGAGGAAAATAGCGACAGAATACAACACGCGAATGATACCAACAGGAAAACAATAAAGATCTGAGCACCGAGAAAATGCCAACGACGTGCAAAGACAAGGTCGAGAGTCACCTCGGCCCGCTCAGGTGCACAGGAAATCAAGCCCCAGTCTTCTGGCCACGCTTTGCCAGTCCCAAACGGAGAGCCAGTCACCGAAATCCATCAGGTGCCATACTTCTTCAAGGACCTCGAGAACCCGGTCGCAATTGCGAAGACCAGTGTAGCCCCGGACGGACCGGACGATGGCGCGGACTCGCTCTTGCTGCGCGGGGTCGAAGCATGTGGTGCCGATGACCAAGCTGGGCATTAGCAGTAGAGTGAGTGCAGGGTCTGACGGCTTGAAGCCCTCCATGATAGCCAGAGACTCTTCGACCGCCGAGGTAATGCGGTTGTCGTGCTGAGGCGGACGGCGGATTGGGGGCGGAGACGCCGGCCGTTGCTCGTCAATGACGGCGCAGCTGGAGGAGCCGGCATCGGATTCGTGCATCGAGCTTGTCCTCGACGGCCCGCGGGAGCTCGGCTCGCGCTTCAGTTGCATTGACGAGGGGAACCCGCCCGCTGTGGTGGGGCGGAGGCCAGGGGACGAGGCACAGCTCGTAGCGGTGGAAGGCCGAGAGATCTGTGAATGACGCCGGGAGGAAGATGAAGATATGGAGGTGGCAACAGAGGTCGCCACAGAGAAGACGGAGGGTCGTCTCTGGGGGGATGTAGGGGGGTAAATAGTACGGAATAGATGCAGGAACATCATGTGCTTGTAGACCAGACCGACCCGGTGCCGGCTATCGCCGGGCGGCCAAGCGGGCATCCATTGTTCGATGGCTTCTTGAATCTCCTGTGCCTGATACAGGATGTGATATGTCACGACCGTCTCGGAGCCTCTGTAAATGTTCTCCCTGATGGTGTTTCGGATGGTTGTAATATGGCAGAGATACTGGAATAGCCCGTCGGCAACGCCCAAGAGCCGGGGCGAGTCAAGGGGAACTAGGGCAGCCCACTCTTCCGAAGCTAGACGTGGGCAGTTGTTTGTGGGATGCCACAGGAGTTCATCTGCGTAAATGTGGTATTGGAAGAATTCGGTGATGAAGGCTAGGAAGACGGGGTCCTCTGGGGGCGTCTCCTGGATAAGCCGCTTGTAGCCACCAAGATGAACTCGGTGGGCGCCATGTGGCTCACCCTCGATCAATGTGGTGACAACCAGGCACAGGATCTGCGCGTAACGTGCGGAAAGGATCGTCTTCCGGTCGACACCATCTTCCTCGCCGGTGCGGTTCATGTCGGCGTACAACGTCTTCATCGCCTGCTCTTCGTGATATGCCGATCTGGCCTGCAGCGCTTCTCTGTTGGTTGTCGGGTTCCTCTCCAAAAGTTTCGCACCGTACGGTGTATCAAAGTCAATGTGTTTACTGCTCATGGCGAGGATGGAGTGCATCACGCCCTGGTGAAGGTTTGCCAAAGGCAGGATAATGTCCTTGAATGCATTCTTGGCCTCCCCTTCGACAGTGAGGACGTTGCTGAGGTGGACTCCGTAATGTCGCCAGAAGATCTTGTCTTCGACTGTGTCGACACCGTTGAACAGGGGCTGCATGGTGAAGACGAGAGACTCCTCGTCTCCATGGTGGTCTTTTGATAAGGTTAGACATCATTCGGCACATCCTTTTGGGGCAAGTACTTACCAGTTGTTGCCTTTTCTTTGCCGCTTCTCCACAGCTTCTTTTCATGATAGCCCTCGCATACGACGGCGTTCTTCTCGCAGTTCATGCCTATCGAGGAGTCAGACACGCCTACGCTGTACGTCGGACGCAACACCTACATCTCGGCTTTGCCTCGTCGCACTTCTTCTTTCGTCTTCGGCAGGTAATGCACCCTGTCTTGGACCGGCCCTTGGTAACTTTGCTCGCGTTAATAATGGGCGCCGCAGGGTGCTTGCGAGGTCGTCCTCGGGGGCGTTTCTGTTTCGTCTGGCTCGCGGGTGAGATCAAAGAAGCTTGTGCTGGCGTCAAAGGAGCCTCCTTCACATCGTCCAGCTTGAAGTCGTCGTCCAAAGGTTCGAGTTTGGGTACGGTAAGGATGTCGTCCGAGTCCTGTTCCCACACAATGTCGTTGTCAGCGTCGTCCCCGTCAAAGGTCTCAGCGTGGCCGGTGCTCCAGGAATCAGTGCAAGATGAAGATGCGGAGTGTACCATTGTCGGAGCGCAGGATGGGTCCATGTTTGGGATGTCCATGCCGGTGCTGACGGGAGAGAGCGGACCAGTGTGGGAGTTGGAAAAGTTGGTAGAGGCCATCCAAGCGGCTGTCGCTTGGGCAGCGGGTGAGTGTGGAAGGAGCATATCGTCTTGCATGCTGTCGTCGTGCATGTTGTCGTCTGATGAGTTGCTGTGATTATCCGACCACGAAAGTTCCCCTTCGTCCGACACCATTGATAAAGCAGTGGAATCCATGGCTCGTCACTAGCGAGACCATGCCAATAGGGAAGGGTCAAAACGGAGGTGGTTGTGCCCAGTCGAAGATACCGGTCGGTGAAGAAGAAGTGGCAATCGGGTTTCGGCGGTTAGGCTGTCGATCAAATATCAAGGTCGGAATCCATAGAACAGGATGCCAACGAGCTAGAAGTGGAGCAACGGGCGACAATAATCCTTTGAGTTGACTGATCAATGTTGAGCTGGATAGAGGACGACGAGGAGCAAGCAGAGGTTCGTCGGAGATCAGGTCTGTGACGGGCGGCTCAAGAAGAAGGGGAAAAGGCTGATCGCTGGAGAGCCGACGCAGAATGGAGGGGCTGAGATGGGTGGAGAGATGATCGCTGGGTCTTATTTGGAAAGCAGCTTGGCCCGTCAACACGAAGTGGGAAAGGAAGGAGGGTCGTTGGACGACGACGACACGACATGGAGCCAGCCGCTTCGAGGGGCGGGATATGCACATACATATCTGCAGATAGCTGCGCTGTTAGTGGGCAGGACGTCGGGACATCGACAGGGCTTGGAGGTGAGAGCGAGCGAAGACGTGCAGAGAATCGATGTTTCTCCCACACACGCACTAAAGGGTCCCCTAGCACCCTAGCTCCCCACATGCAAGGTGTACATGGTACACCACACCACCTACGAATTGGGGGGAGTCTTGTTTCCCATACGATGGGCGGATAAGGACAGACGGTGTGGGAGTGTGGGATGTGAGGTGAGGTCTCATGTCGCACCTCTGCCAAGACCAGGACGGAGGGGTGTTTGGTGCTGGCCGGGCCAGGCTACTCGCTCCTCCTCCGCCCCCCAGAACAGACTGCACCTAGGTACCTGTGCCGTCGGTGCTGTGGGCCAGAGGATGGCAATAATAGAGCCCGGTGGCTGTCGTATATCGGAAATGGGAGCAGAGCCACGACGGAGTTGCTGTCAGCTTGGCCGTCGTCGATGGTGGATGGCATGTGGGTTTAGGCTCTTCTTGGCAGTATCTCTCCACTCTCGGTGCAGTAGTACGGAACGATCAACTGCGGTGCGCTCGGTTGTTTTTTTCGTTGGTTTTTCTTGAGCATTGCAGGCGACCATGACGAGAACGGCGAAAGAGAGACAAGGAAAGAAACCATGATGGGTGGTGCATCTTGCCGTTTGTCCCTGTTTGCTCCTCTCTCACATCTCTTTGGTCCTCCTCGTCCTGCTCCTTGACTCTTCTGGGGGGGAGGTCTCTCAGCATCCATCAGCCCTGGTCGTTGCTAGCGTGGTGTGTCCTCCCACCCCTGCCATTGTAAGCTAAGCGGGTGGTAAGTACTCTCAAGTACTGAGGGTCGCTACCCGCTCGACAACATCCCCACGATGGCTCAGGGTGTCTTGATTCGCCGTCGTAGAATTTCTGGTGTCGTTGGCAAGGGCCCAGCTTGGCCAAAATACGGACTGTGCGCACACCCTCGAATCCAAGGCATGCTCGACCGAGCGCTGCGGTGCGGGGACTCCACCGCGACGCAGATATGAGTACGGTTATTGTCGAGTAAGGATGAGAGCAAGAGAGAGAGAGAGAGAGAAAGAGAGAAAGAGAGAAAGAGAGAGAAAGAGAGAAAGAGAGAGAGAGAGAGAGAGAGAGAGGAGAGCGGCTTGCTGAGAGGCCTGGACAGTGAATGGGCCTTGGTAATTGAGGGACAACGATGGCGCGATGCAGAGATGAGCAATGGCCGATCGTCAAGCCGCGACTCATGAGTCGTGCTCCAGGGAAAGTAGACGGGCCTGTTGGCCAGCAGTAGAATGAAGCTGTTGCGCCAATGTGCAGGGGTGGATGGACTGGTGTCGCGGCGTCTCTCAATGAGTTGAGGTGAAGAGAACTGACCGGGACTGTGCAAGACAAGGAGGTTGCATCGTAGGAGATCGCGTCGCGTCCTGTCGAGAAAGTGTGGGGGAAAGAGGGGAGTCATGGCGGAACTCGGAGATGGGCATCGGGGCTTCAGCGCTCATCGCATCGTCTTGTTTCTGAATGCTTGTTGGTCATCATCGGAACGGAGCAGGCTCCAGTCAAACCGTTCGGCTCACGGTAGCCAAGTGTGCTCCATTTCGGGCACAGAACGAGTCAACGTCGGCCGGTACTTGGTTGTGGGCATTGGAACGGTGGTGCGCATCAAAGGTCGGCTGTACCATGATATCATGGTGGGTAGAGAGACGGAGGGTCTTGCTTCTAAGGCCTGTCACTGCATATGCAAGAAGCTGGATTGGGAAGGACAAGTGCCTTTAGTGTCTTTGACCAGAGTCAAGAGACGGGCAGCGTGTGTCTGCATCCTCTGTGGGCGAAGTGGCAGAAGCCAGGCAATGTACCTAGCCCGGCTGGCGATGTGAGCGGAAACCATGGACAGTGGGTGGGATGGTGCCGCATGGGATGTGCGATGGCCGGGCATGGACGTCCAGTCACAGGCTCCGCGGATCTCTGTTCTCGCCGTTGCCTCGTGCCAAATGTCGCCTCGTGGAAAGAGAGAGGATAAGAAAAAGGAAGGGGGATAATGGGAGACCGCGAGCGACTTGATTTGATGCGATGCACCCAGCGACGTACCTACTGTGCAGATACTCAGTAGGGTAGTTTGCGGATACAGTCGTTGATCCATAGCATGGTAGGAGCCAACCACGGCGAGGCCAGCTGGTTAGTCAGAAAAGGTGTCGCAAGTGCCTGGGCTCTGCAGAGCTGGTTCAAGCCTTTGGGCAGAGACACATGGCCGGCGTGGTGGAGTCGAGTAATGCGTGAGAGGAGAGGTGCATCGCGATGCGAACAATCCCCATCTGACTGGTCGACTCAAGGGCAGGATTCGCCTCATTGAAACCTGAAACTTGTGGAATTGGTTGTCTATCTTTTTCTCTTTCTTTCTGGTCTTCCCACTGCGCTGTCACCGCGTCGTGCCGAGTTGTCACTGCAATGCGGAGGCGGCGCGCTGGGCCGGCTTGCATTTGCATGTCGTCTGGGCTGGGATTGAGAGGCGTCGTCGAGGTCGTTGTGTTCGAAAGTCGATGCCGAGCCATTGTACTGGGATGAGCGCCGTCGGCACGACGCTACCGATGGGTCATGGATGGCTTGCTTTGATGGGCTATGCGTCGTCCTGTCTCCTCCCGCTCGCCTCACATCTGTCTCCGGCCGATGTACAAGAGTCGGGATCGCATGATGTGCGGGACTTCAGGGTTCGGAGGCACCGGGAGCAACGGGAGAAGGTCGACATGACGGTCGGCGGCCAGTGTGTCATTAGGGCGAGGATTTAGCGAGTTCGGTGCTGCGCGGCGGTGGCTGTCGACGCTGGGAGCCTCGATGGGTTTGTGTGCGTCACCCGTACGGTGACGTGAGGTGAAGAGAGGTGAGGTAAAGATAGGTACAGCGGGCCTCGAGCATGACCCTGTGCCGAAGGATCCAATGCACCTGTAAACTCTAAAGAGGGACCGATTGATTGCCCGACGGAATGCCTGATGGGTTGAATCCATTTGTCGAAATCGGAGATTTGCAATCAACTCGTTGCCATGTGTATGCTGGCTGCAGTGGTGTTGCTGCGGCTGCGGCTGCGGCTGGCTGGGATTCTGTGGCACCGTCGGCTGTTGCCCGGTTTGCTCCCAGACAAGCAAAGATGAAGACGACGACGACGACGACGACGACGACGACGGATCGTAGTTCCTATTTGGCATGTTCCATCATCCATGCAATCAATCGCCTTTGCTGACTCGGCTTGAATGAGGCAACGAGGAAACATGCACACTGGACAGAGAATCCCCCCCGCGTGTTTTTCCCTCCCTCTCCCTCTCCTTCCCTCTTCCTGTCTCTGGTTGTGTCTCTGTCTGGAGAGCCTGACGATGAGAGAAAGTCGCACCTGTCTACCTTGGAGAGGCTGGTTTCCACAATGGTGCGTGCTCTGCCCCCCATCGTCCCGGTCTTTCCATGCGCCTTCCATTGGTCCAACAACCCAGCGGTTGAAGAAAGTGCATCGTGCCCGCGCCTTCCTAGGACACTAGGACAGCTGTGGCCCAATCCACAAACCGTGCATCCCAAGTAGAAGGAGCCCTGGTGAAAGGACGGGAAGCTGCGACAGGCTCCTTCGTATTTCAGCGCTCTCGTGTCTTGCTCGCCTGTGACCTTTTTGCTACGGTCGTGGTTGTAGCCCGATCTAACGGCAAACGCTGCGTTCTTGGCACAAGAGAGGGAGAGAGAGAGACAGAGAGACAGAGAGAGGCAACATCCGGTCGCAAGGTTCCCATAACGTGCGACCCCTTCCGTCCCGTTCCGTCTTGTCAACGTCAACGCCAACGTCGACATCGTCCATGTTCCGCTGTGCACTGTGCACGCAGCAGACTCGGCTGCTACCTACTTTGACACTTTAGCAACATCAGGCCCACTATCAGCCGCTGTAGATAGATCCACTGACAATCAGAGGGCCGCTAAGCCCAGGACAGAACGACCACCTCTGGAAGGAAGGGGGTCCCTGCGCACTGTGGAGGTGCTGCTGCCAGGACCCTTGGTTCCTTTCATCTTTCAAATCATCCTGCTTTCCCATTCCCTCCTACCTAAGCTTCCTCCGAGGGTGCGGATTTGGAACACACAGGTACTCTCAGGTGGTACAGCACGCCACACTAGGTAAGGTAGGCACGCAGGCAGGCAGGCATGTTGGGTACGTACTCCGAACATCCGTCAGTTCAAGTCGCAAGTGATCCGAACTCGATTCTCCTCCCGTTCCATCGCTGGGCATTCGTTTCCTTTTGGGGCCATGCGCCGTCGGAGAAAACTCCGTTCCGTACCTGACTCTCCGATATCTCATCAACCACATATAGTCTCGAATCTTGGGGCTGATGACTTCCAGCTTCCTCGCACTAGCTGTGGGAGGGAAGCACTTCGCTAAGCTCGGATTCATTACACAGACCTAGAC